GTAGGGAAAAAAGATTTGAGGACTGCAGATAGAAAGAGAAGAACATGACAAAGCAAATGTGAGAGTGATATATCAATAGAAAGGAAGATACAATAACAAAAGGGAGACAGAAGAACAGAAAGAAGAGACGACTCACCCGGTTCCAGCTTGATGACTTTGATAGCAGCCAGCTCTCCTGTGTTTACATTACGAGCCTAAAGAAAGGAGAGAGGTGGTGAGTCAGCAGAGGCTTTGAAACAGCTAATATATGGCACTGTTGTGTGCACGTTGTCCATGTGTCAGGGTAGAGTGCTCATTTCAGATACTCTGTTGCCTTTTTCAGACCTATATTTGACGTGTCGAAAATAATTTTTGTGAGAATTCGGCAAAGAAGCTGAACCATGGCTCAACACGCCATCCAGCAGAGCACTGTGCAGGTCAGTCAGGTACCCATAAGCACACCTTTGTGTTAGATTACCTAGTAACGTGAAGAGTTACCTGGCAATCATCAGTGGAGCACAGTGATTGTGGCTGTCAGAGTTGCAAAGTTCTACACCTTTACTAGCATTCTGTTTGATAAACACATGGATCTGTTAGTCAAACTCAAAATATAAGGCATGAAGTTGTAACAAAGACAAATCATAATGGTTGAATCCCATTTGGAACTACTGAACAGCTACCTTTTAACCCATTTGTCAGACACAACATCCCTAGCCCTGTATCTTCTCAACTAATGCATTTCTGTTGCTATTGAAGACAAACGTTTTGTATTCAAACAACTACTCCACCATTCTTCATCAACTAAGCACTACTAAACTATTAGCAGTTCCATTTACATGACATGGGTCGTATTATTTTGTCATCACTGCTCCAAATGTATCTTTTCTAAACTGTTAACATCATGTTCCTAATGCCACCAGAAATTACACTAATTATGCCATATGTTGCAGACCAGAATCCATTCACACTTAGTTAAGGCAGGGGTGGAGGAATGGATGGACCTCAGCGGGAAACTGACACAATTTTTCCTGTATTCCAGAAAAGCTGGCACTGGTCAGAACTGGGAGGACTTGCAGGGCACCGAGGCCAGTTTTCTATAAATAGCAAGCTTTGTTTACATGTAGTATTAGTGCTGGTGGAGGACAGGAGAGGAATTCTATATGAAATATACATGAATAAAAGATGGTCTTTCAGAGGAGGCATGCAGGAAACTACTCACTTCCCTCAGACCAAAATTGTGCAAGTGTGACAGTGTGTGTCACTGCAGAAGTATGCGCGAGACAACAAGAGACGAAGGGACATTTAAAGTTACAGTGAGGAACAGAAGTATTTGAACACCCTGCAATTTTGCAAGTTCTCCCACTTAGAAATCATGGAGGGGTCTGAAATTCACATTGTAGGTACATTCCCACTCTGAGAGACAGAATTAAAAAAAAAATGTCAGGAAATCACATTGTATGATTTTTAAAGAATTTATTTGTCTTGCACTGCTAAACATAAGTATTTGAACACCTGAGAAAATCAGTGTTAATATTTGGTACAGAATCCTTTGTTTTGCACACACTGCAACAGGGATTTTGGCCCACTCCTCCACATAGATCTCCTCTAGATCTGTCAGGTTTCGGGGCTGTCGCTGAGCAACGCGGAGTTTAAGCTCCCTCCAAAGATGTTCTATTGGATTGAGGTCTGGAGACTGGCTAGGCCACTCCAGAACCTTGATATGCTTCTTACGGAGCCACTCCTTGGTTATCCTGGCTGTGTGCTT